TGTGTGTGTGTGTGTGTGTGTGTGTGTGTGTGTGTGTGTGTGTGTGTAGCAAGCCATCAAGTTTGCTTCCTCTGGCTACAGTCTGAAACACTTCTGTTTAAATATATTGCAGTAATAGTCCCAAAGAGTGTACAAGCATCAGAATAGATTACTTGGATCCACGCCTCTGCCACTTACTGGAGTATTTCTATTTTCTTCCGAGGAAAAACAGGCCATCAGTGGGCACAGGGCCTTTTTAGGGACTATCAGTTGTTGGGGGGTGGGGTGAGGTAGAGCATGCACAAAGACTCTTGGCCTCTCAGCCAGAGACAAGTGTCCCCTGGGAAGAAAAGCTTTGCAGTCCAAAAGATAGAGATTTTTAAAAAATTCTGTCCAGAAAGACAGACATCTTGTATAAAATGTTGTTTGCAGCAAAGGGTTATAGATTGATAAAAAAAAAAAACCTGAGTGGGAACTGGCTTCCACTTAGAATTACTGAATGTAACTTGGAAAAAAAAAAAGACTTCAGGAGCTCATTTCTGCAGGGATACCATCAGAACTTTTAGATGATTCATTTCCTTGGGGTTGAACATTTATAAATATTTTGGAAAGATAACCTAAATTCCAAAGACAGGTTGATTTTTGGGGATATTCTAGGTTTCTGTATCACAGTTTACCTGTCTCATAAGTAGAGGGGAGATAATACATGGAGCCTTCTGGACTTTGGTAGTAGTGTTTTTCTTACTCTGTTAGTATGTCAGTGATTCTGTTCTTTAATAAGTAATCTTTCTTAAGGAATGAGGAATTAGAAGAGTTCAGTCTATTCTCTGTACAGGTCCTTTTGTAGAAAGTTAATTTAGTAGGTTGTCATAAATGAGTATGTAGATGATAGATGGCTTTTAAAGTCTATCCAGCCCTAAATCCATGCTCCTATGAGCATATGTGCACATATACATATATATTTTGTATATTTTGCTTATTGGAATTAGTTTAGGAAATAGAGATGTGTTTTTTTCATAAACTGCTAACAATTAAGAGGGGTCTTTAGGAAGAGCTTCCACTTTCTGACCTAAAGAACTATAGTTTAACTTAAGAGTTTAGGTGAAATAGATCTATATAGTGGGTTGTCATAGGTATAATATCTGATTGAAGCATTGTGTATCTTAGCCTATAATTTCTGTGATTTTGGGAACCCCTCTAGGGAAACCTTGAAGAAAATCATTAGTCTTCTCAATTTATAGTGGAATATGGGTACTTTATGTAAACATTTTGCTCAGTGGATTTTATGTGCTTAAGCAACCTCTCCAAGAGGCAGAATTGGAAATCAGACTGGCTCCTCTGCCTCTATCAGCTTTCCTGAATTGTCTTGAGTTGAGCAGAACCAGTTGATGTGCCACAGAAGGTCCTGACCCCTTGGCCTGAGTAGCAGACACCCTTAGCCTTAGAACCTGCATACAGACTCCAAGGTAGACCTCCTCAGCTTACTTTAGCATCAAATTTACATAAAAAACCTCTCCTACAGGGAAAAGCTGCGGAAAGGGTGTGTAAGCTTACATAGAATGATTGAAAGTCTTCATTATGAATTCTTCAATTATGAAGTCTTCATAACCACAATCCATCAGAATATTCACTCAACCTGACTCCTCAAATGAAAAATCATTAATAGAAGTGAATTATTTACATGGATATAAATGCTTATATGCCTATGTCTATTCCATATGTGGAATATATATGTATGTATGTATATATATATCCCCACACATATTACATAACTATAAATATCCAGGTTACATAGTGCATGTGGCTATTTTCTCCATGTTGATTTGAACTAAATAACTAATTCTATGAACTAGTTCTTTTAGAAAACAGAATCCATTGTATACTATGCATACATTAACAGTTTGCATACTGGCTATCAGCAAATTATTAGGTTGCACCTGTGTTAATAAAAGAACTCTTCTGCTAACGGTGTGACCTTGGGCAAGTCACAGTCCCTCTCTGAATTTCATTTTCCTAATCTGTAAAGTGAAAGAGATGGACAAGATGAACTTTAATTTTCTGATTCTGTTGTTTTCCTCTCTATCTCCTTGTTTGACAGATGGATACAGGCTTCATCAGGGGCTCTTATTACATTACAATGGTAATTGCTTAGCAAAATGATTATGGTTATGTTTATTCTTGTTTCTTAGGGGAAACTGGCCTTACTGAACACAATAAAAAACAATTAGGTTTAGGACAAAAGTATCAACACACGTCAAAAGTTAGGATGTATCTGGTACAGGGGCAAGGTTTGAACCCATATCTTCTCTTCTTTATTGTACTGCAGCACTTTCAATTACAAGATGCTGCTTCTCTGAGAACAGGTACCACTATGTAAATCCTGGTTTATTCACTACTGCTTTAAAGGTTTTAAAGAATGCCTTATAATTATTATTTTAGCAAAAACTGTCAAGTTACGCTGTTTAGGTTAAAATTAATACAAAGAATGTTTCATTTGTTTTTTTTTTGATAAAGCAAAAGTGATATATAAAAAATTATCACAGAAATGGGTAAAATATGGTCTGCTGTCGAAATGGGAAGTGTGATTTTGTAATACAGGTAGAGCTTGAAGATATCTCAATTCTTTCCTAATTTGCCTATCCAATCTTATTTCCAAGTGTTATCTGACACCCACTCTTCACTTTGGTTAGGCTCAGACCCTAAGAACATAGCACTCTAGTTCCTGTCTCCGGGGGTTTGCTTTTATTGTTCCCATCTGAAATGTCATTCCCTCCACCTACTCAATCAATTAGTCAAATCTAATGCACTCCTCAAGGTCCAGTTTGAGGGTACTGTCTTCTAGAAAGCTTCCCCTGGTTACTCTATGCCTCATTTATCTTCCTCGGAACTCCTAAGCACTTAGAATCATTCCTAAGCAATTTCACAGCTAATCATACAGTCTCCTGTTGTTTGCTCTTGTTTCGTGTGGCTATGTCTTTTGCTTCCAAGTGGATTGTATGTACCTCGAGGCAAAGACCATATCCTGTGTTTCTCACAGGGTTAAGTATAGTTTTGGGTACATAGAAATGTACAGGTGGAAGTTAGTACAGTAAGATTAATACATCCACCTTACTTTAATGAACCTCTGTCTTTACTTTCTAAAATCTCCTTAAAAATCTCCTCTTTAGCACATCTTCTTCCTTAAGTCTTTCTAAGAAATGTAGTGTTCATAGCCAATTTGAAACGTCCATTGTATCAGGGAGTCTTAGGATTTTTAAGAAAAGACTCGGCCTCCCTGCTGGAAGTACAGAGGCTATTATCCCTCCTTAGGCAGCCTAGGGACCATCTGATCCTAGGGTCTCATCATATTAACATCGAACTTAGGGTGGATTCCCAATGCAATTAGCCTGCTGTAGCTCAGAACTCCTGAGCTCAAGAACACTACCTGGCTGAGCCTCTCTAGGATCTGGGATAACAGATTGTAACACCACCACTAACATGTCTGTCTGTCTGAAAACATTTATTCCTGAAGATTGAGGGAATGCTCATGAAAAGAGTTTGAGCTGTTGCTCTATTATACCTTGTCCAGCTGCTTAAAGTGCCATGCTATTAAGGTCATTATCATGGGTTCAAACCCTATGAATGGCCTTTAATATTACTTTGTTCCATGTTTACAGGTTGTAGGAATACTCCATAAAAGGTTGTCCAGAAGAATGTCATTCTTTGATAACATCATTAATACATTATATCCCAATCTTTCCTGTATAATCGTAAAATCCTGATGAAATACTGTTCAGCTGATTCTCTTTTCAATCACTGTTCGTGTAGAACTAACTTTGCTACATAATATCATTTCATCTAGCTTTCTGGTTTTGTGGAACCAATTAATAAGGGAGGGTGTATTTGTACAACCTTAAGCCTTAGAAGGGTGGAGTGCATGTGATAGTGTAGTAGACTTGGAATCAGGAAGACCTGCATTTCAGTCCTGCCACAATTTCTTCCTAACTTTGTGACTGTGACCAAGTCACTTAACCTCTTTGGGACTCATTTTCCTCATCTGTCTTATGGTTATAATAATAACATTAATCCCATGGAGTTGTTGTGAGGATCAAATGAGATAATGTATGTATAGCACTTTGCAAACCTTAAAGGGCTGTATAAATGTCAGCTATTATTAGATGCAGCATGGAGTAGAGCAGGGGTGCTTTGCC